CTCTGGTTTGTCTTTTACATGGTCTTTGCCAGAAGCCCAAGTCAAAATAGCTATGTTTCGGCTTATATTATAGCAATGTCTCTTCCTGAATGGTTGGGCTACCCATCTATGGTTAGCTCAAGGTTTTGCATACTTAACCAACTAAATTAGTTGATACTTTGACTAACAACCATTTCACTTGGTTTATGAGTTTGTTGGCCCATATCAGTTGATACTGAGACTAACAAACTACCGGATGGATGCCTCAAGAACATGAAAAAACTTCAAACAAAATCAAGAACAGGATTTTGCCCATATATGCTTCACATAAGCATTTCAATTTCAGTTCTGCATATAGGATATGTTTGAAGTGGCCTTCTTCCCTCCCTCTCTTCTGCTGAATGTGTTGGAGCTGTCGTTTGCGTTCGAAAAGGCTTGTGTGGAATGAACCGGAGGTTGTGATTGTTATTGACCTCTTGCAGTTCAGAAATCCAAGTAAAGAAAGTCTATGAACAATGTAAGATGATCCTCTATGTTGTTTTGCCAGCCCAAAATTTTGAAATGAAGCATACAGAACCAGCTGCAAAGAGACTCAACTTGTATCTGCAGCAAGTAGTAGAGCATTTGAAATTCTCATGGTGCATAAATCTAGAAAAGTCATCAAAGCTTCTTCTTTGTGAGCTCCAGAACAAAGTAGATGGAAGGGACTTAACTGACAATAATTAACTAAAGTTTGGAACAAATTTCTCAGAAGTAATAAGAAGCTAGTGGTGAAGCATACCTCAAATAGCAATTGGCAGCCTGGAAGATAACTCACAATAATTGAAGATCACTAGTTACAGGTCCTTTTTATTTTTTTTTCCTCCTAAAAGCACAGGTCACCTCCTGTATTAGAAAATATAACTTCCAGCACTAACGAGAAAAGCATCAATGTTCACCATAAGTATTTGTGCCTGACATTAGTAAAGCAATCATGTCACATATGATCATTAGTTTCATGTTCAGCTTCAAACTAGTCTGAAACTTCCTAAACAAGAACCTGCAACATTTTCATAGTAATAATAACAATAATAAGTTATTGGTGCAACTTACCTGCTCTGACTTGTGGCAGGTCCTTTGCCAGCTTTCATCAAGTTTTGAGTTACTGAGATCTTCAGACTCTGATAATACATCTTAATAACTAGAAAACTCTGAAAGGATCATAGAAACAGTATTAAAATTAAGTAATTAAGCAATTCCGAGCCACCATTGATAAGGGAAAATAATGGAAATTACCAAGTCATAATACAGTAGTTTAAAATGTGTACCACAATGAAAACTTATAAACAAAAGGAACAATGAACTGTCCAAGTCTAGTTCATGTGATCACAAAGCTGTCAATTTTCCAGCAGAATATATGTGGAAAAACGACGTACCTGCATTACAGTTGTTTGATCCTGAGATTCTGATCTGCTTGAAGAGCTTCAGTAGCAATCTCATCCAAGAGGTCCTCCGCAGCATACACAGCATTTTAAGGTCAGCAAGCCTATCTTGTCAACATCCTCTGCATCCAAGATGTCAAGAGAAGCCATCCTGTCAAACAGAACTCGGTTTGAAGCAAAGAGAAAAGCTCCACCGACTAAGGCCTCGCCCATGTCTCTTTGTTTTTTTGCAACAGAGGGATCTGAAGAAGATGAAAGTAAGTGACAGCAAAGGAATTGTTTCTGTGCTTAATTCAGCAATTGTATCATCAGATTAGAGAAAGTCAAGTCACCTTTGATCATTGTAGCCGAAGTCGTATAGTATGGTTCTTTGAGACAGCTTTTTTTAGTAGGAAATTCTACAGGGAAACAGATGCTTCTCACATTTTTCATTCATTTATGATGTTATTCCATTCAAAAAAATTTCTCCTGATAATTGGATAAATTCATTCCAGTCTATCTCTTGATTTGGAATTTTCTCAAAAGCATGATGGTCGTTGAATGGAATGCTTCAAATATATAAAAATTTACTAGAAGCTAGCAATCAACATAAAACATAGAACATACAAGCCGGTTTCTTGAATTATTTGTTCATAGGAAATTACAGAGGAGCAAAACACCACCAAAGGAAAAAAAAGCATTTTCTGGGAAATTTTATTTAAGAAAGTATGAAAGTTAACTTTCAAAGGTTAAAGCTTTAGATATATATATGTAATTGAAGGCATGAACTCAACATAGTTTTCGTAGTGTGAACAAACCAATTAACTAACCAACTCATACTTTCATTATAAATAACCAATTCACTATGAGCTTAGCATTCAACCAAGTAGGCAAACAACTTAAAATTTGCTTCACTTCTACCTTTTATCGCTCAGAAACAAAATAAATAAATAAAGATAATAGAAAAAGCTGCATTTGAATGGATAAAAAACAATGATAATACAAGATAATGTCTTCAAAGCTCCAACTATGTAGAGTCATGTGGGCCATGATGTAGCCACAACTGTACATGCAATTAACAATTGAACAGGGAAAGAAAAATAAAAATTGTACGAGTAAAACGCAGCATGCCTTAAAAATGGGAAACATATGGTAGGAATCCAGATTGCAATTCACATCTGACTTCAAACAAACATTACTGACCACCAGACCTTATCATGTATAAGAACAGGATTTTGCCCATACATGTGCACAGAATGTGTTTTGAAAGGCCTTCTTCCTTACTTTCCTATCCCTCCTTTCTGTTGAATGTGTTGAGCGCTACTTACGTTTCAAAATGCCTGCCTGGCATGGACTGGATGCTGCAGTTGTTATTAACGTGGAGTCGATTTCCTTATCGTCCGCCAAGTTGAAGTCTACCAATAGTGTATGAACATCCTCTATATTGCTTTGACAAAGCCCAAATTTGAAATGAAGCATACTGAACTTGCTGCAAAGACATTCAACCTCCAGCTGTAGCCAGTAGTAGACCACTTGAAATTTCATGTAATTGGTGCCTACATCTCGAGGAAAGTAAGCTTCTTTGTTAGCTCTAGACCAAAGTAAATTTGGCTGCTAAAGGAACTCAACTAAATGAAAATAATTAACTCAAATTTGCAACAGAATTTCAGAAGTAATAGGAAGTAAGGGATGATGCATCCCTCAAATAGCCACTGGTACCCTAGAACAGTTAGCACTAACGCAATTGAAGAGAACAAGTTGCAGGTCTACTTTATATCTGAGGAAGCACAAGTCACTAACTAGTGAAGCATTAATGCTAGCCTTAGTTGTGCTT